TCCCTGCTAAATAAACATCCCAAATATACAAACTCATCCACTTGCTCAATCAACTCCCCTTCTATTCTTATTTCACATAAAGTTTTACTCTCTTCTCTTTCAAAAACCATCACTTTCGTCTTACTTGCGTTCACTTTCATACCCCAGATTAGGAGTACCCTTAACCGACGAGCGTGTATGCGTAGATATATGGATGTAAAAGAGGCAAGAGAGGTGTGTCAGGATCGCGCCAAATGGAAGTCCGTAGTCTCTGCCTACCCCTCTGGGTGACAGGCGTGAGTGTTTATGTATTTATGTTTACAAAAAACATTATTAGTTGAACCTTGCAGCTTGTTCATTATGTTTATTATAAATACCTATAAATGTATATATTATTAATAAATAGTTCCCATAATATTTTGGATTATTTTTTATTTTGCCCTATCTGCAATGTTCTACGCTCTATAGAAAATGTGGCGTATGACATGACTGACAATCTTTCGAACGTTTTATCTAGGTACAAAGATGTTTTACGTTTTCGTCGCCTCCACATGATATTTTTGTCAGCATAAGGTACCCTTCTATATCTGAAACGAATATAAATATTGCTACAAAGTAAAGTTATAGGCTATACAATTCCCTCTATTGGGCACAGGACTCTTTTTTTATTTCTGAGAGGGTTCTAGGGCAAGGAAATTCCCGCCGTGCTTCCCCAATGCGTGTTGACGAAAATTGCAATTACAAATTTCATTCGTGCTGTCGGGGATCAAACCCGGGAAAATTTACAGCGAACGCTTTGATCCAGATCTATTAATACGATACAAATAAATACGATTTAACATATATAATAAAAAACTGTTACATACTTGAAACTTGAACACTTGATAGTTCGTGACGCCTACCGGACAAATCTACAGTACAATGTAATTGAAGATCCGTAACCGCGACATAATTCTCAGTGATGCGCAAGCATAACAGGCAGTATGTCACTTATATAATTGTAATCTCTGCAGTCTATTAATCTTTGCACTTTTATAAGTAATACAGAACGTAGTTGCTAGTCGGTGTTGACATCGGCTAAAATCTCTGCGTTCGCCGTTTCGTCAAGGTCATTCAGGATAGTTAAAGCCTTAAAATAGTATTTTTCAGTAGACATGTGTCCCCCCCCCCCCCCCTCAACCATATATACCATAAACCGCTGTATTTGGAAATTTGAAAAGTATACACAATAGCAGTACCTATATATAATGAAGTTAAAAGGAAAACTAACACAGCTAAGAAGAATTAAGAAGTTAACGAGTAATAGTCGACCAACTTATAAAATTCATTACAACTCCATAGAAAATGACCTAAAACTAGCTGCATTAATGACTTTGTAATGTTATTGTAAACTGTTAAAAATAAGCATTTTATAAAGAAAACTACTTATATGCATTAGTACCATTTGCTTTACTTTTTCATTTGCGGAATAGATAGGGTGTTATTATCAAAATCAAAAGTTTTTTTTAATATTTTTTGAATATCACTTCCTATAAGGCTGATTTGAAAATAAGTTCTTCACTCATCCTTCAAATGGGCCCAAATAGGAAGATAACTGTCCATCACAGTCATCTTCCTATTTGGGCACATTTTTAGTTGTTATAACGGTCAAAGCGCGAACTCCCTTCTTATGCTCATTATCAAGGAAGCCCACGTATTGTGACGGGCAACTACGGAACCCTTCCTTGTGCGTAGCCCTAGACGCACTTGGCCAGTTTTTTACTGGCATTGTAGCCTTCTATGTTTTTCTTTTGTAGGATAGGGTGACAAACGAGCACACAGTCCACCTGATGGTAAATGGTTGCTTTGACCCATATACATTCACATCTATTCTCAATAAAGGATCAAGATGCAGTTGCGTTGTCACCCGTGAGGACTGAGATGGAATGCCTCTTTTCAGTAAAAAGGGTCTCCGGTTCTCTACACTCACTATACGAAACACAGCAGTATTAAGCTGCTATTTTACGCTGGTATTCTGTGAGATCGGGGTCCTTCCCCGGTCGAGCCGACCCATTTGTGCTACAACTATACTATTAATATAGCTGCAGTATGGCTCTACCACGTAAAAAAATATCTTGATTGAGAATAATGCGCTTATGTGCCTTAACAACTATCAACTATCCGGTGGACTGTGTGCTAATTTTGGTGTTTTTCTTGTTTCGGTAAATGCTTATTTCCGGATTTATTATAATTTTCGATTTTGTAGGCGTGTAGGTTTACTCTCAATATTCTCTTTCACTGTTAAGCACGTACTTTAGATTTTAATAGACAATTAACATTTTATGTGTATTAACTGGAATCGAACTCAAGTTCGCTTGCAAGCTACCTAAGCTCTCTGAGAATCTACTGAAGTCAATTATTACTGCACCACTACCACTAGTAGTGGTGCTGGAATTAGTGGTGACGGGGATAGTGCACGCAATTGAGGGAGGGCGGGAGGTGCTCTTGAAACTAGGTTAGACACATCATTTTATTTTATCGAGCGGATGTATGCAAAGTAATTTATTGTCAACAAAGAATTATTACGCAGAGAATACTAGTAATGGCACCGAAAGTGAAGCAAGTAAAACTAACGCGAAACCGCGTAAGTTGACTCAGCGACGCGTCCATATATTATAGTGTATTATCTATAGACGCGTCAGTGCGCAACGTCACGTCTTACGGAGAAGAGCTCGCGAAAAATTGTAAAAATTACCGTTTGTGTTGTAAAATATTGTCACGACGGTGATGATAAACATAAAAGAAGTGATGGTATTACATTTCACATATAAGTTTATACATTTAATTCATTATAAGTACGTAAAACTACAAAAATACTAACCTAAGCTCTCATAATACAAATGTTGCCAGTTGTGGGGAAAAAATCACAATTTTCTTTTAAAAATATTTATTTTCTATTTGTGTTTAAAATGTTTAATCGCAACGCAAATATATATACGCAAATATATATCTACTTCTTTAAGTGTTAACATTATATTAACAATGGGTGCTTATTTAAAACTAATACGGAGTGATAAGCTAATCGCGATTCGTCGACGCCATTTTAAAGCAACTATTTTATTTTAATTGCTTTGTTTATTGACTAAGGCTACGTTTTAGAGTACAGAATAAAAACTTTTTTATTTACAACATCAAGAGATTATTAATAAGAACGCCTTTACTAGCCAGATGTCACTTTACGCCCAAACATGAACCAGATGTTACGTTAGACCCAAATATAGCCTATTTTAACCGACTCCCAAAAAGAAAGGTTATCAATATGTATGTACACTGATTTCTAAGCATGATCAATTCGTATATAATTTATGGCGTATCACTACGCTTGAGAGTTCATGTTATGAACATTTATTAGTGGCCCTTCACTGTGTAGGAAGCGCGCGGTAGCGCATGCGTTAGACATAACACACGAAAACACATTACATCCAGCGAATTTTTTTTTTCAGACTTTATTATAGTAATTCGGTATAAGCTAGCCTGCCCGCCCGACCTACTTGGGAGATATTGCTATTGGTTTGAAATCGCATTCGAGTTTTGTTTTCCTTGATTGTAAATCTGCCATTTTTACATCCTATTTATTTATATTTTAATAAATCTATTGTACTACTAATGCAAAATCATTTTACTTCTGGAAAACAACCATTAAAATTTCAGCGTGTATATTGGATAAATTTGCGTGTATATCCTTTCAAATAAAAAAATCTAAATCAGTTTAGAAATTGTAGAATTCTGGGGTAAAAAACATTAAAAAATACACCTAATTGATAACCTCCTCCCTTTTTGAAGTCTGTTAAAATTAAATATTACACAACGTGCTTTCTGTGTTCGAGCAACTTAATTGTGTTTAATAATATACTTAAATTTAATTACGTCTGTATTTTTGTACCATTACTATATGTATAATAAAGTTATATTAGTACCATCATTATCTTGTTTATTTTATTCCATTTTATATTCTCATAAAATACTTATTATATCGATTTTTTTAAATTAATCAAAAAATAGTGATTTGCACAATTTGATTGCAAACGCCAGAAACTGATATCACAGAATGGCGTGTATGTGTGCGTGTGATGAGCGTAGGCACATTCGAATCGCGCCCACTAACATAATGATCTTGCATCATTTTAACGCTCGTGTTTTGTACTAGACTGCGCTTCTATGCGTAATAATTCTATGATTGTCAACTTTAATATAATGGACTTCCGCAAAGTAACGCCTGATTCTATTAATTATCAATTATTATTTCTTCATGTTATATGCAAAGCTGACTTATATATAGAGAAATCTATGCTCGAAGTATGCTCTGCTTGATAGGATTTGTAATGGAGATGTCTGCAATAAAACCATAACAGTGTTTTGACGAACCATAACCGATGGGGAACATTTTCAACAAATGTTACGACAGCAAGAGGCTACTACTCGAGACAGCCTGGTGCTATTAATGAAGTGTAAAGCGGCACTCTAAAATGGCGTGAAAACCTGTTAAGACAAACAGAAAATCTATAAATGCGCGCACTATCCCCTGTCACCACTAATACCAGCACCACTACTCCCAACACCACTACATCAGGAAGACAAAACAAGGATACATATTATTGACGGTGGTGTCTTAAGCAATGTAATTTTTACCAAATTTAAACAGAAAATCAATTGATTCTGAAGTGGCTGAGGTCCCTGAGTGTCATTCTTTGTTTGGGGCATTTGTTCAGCAGTGGACTTGTAAGGTATGTAATGATGATGATATTAATATTGATAATAGGCAGAACACAAATTTTTGATTCTTTCTGTGTTACACAACAACATTTGACCCAGTTTGTATCAAATAATTAAAAGATTAGTAAATTAGCGCTTGTATAACTAAATAATCGTAACTGATAAGATGTACGTTGAAAGCATAGAGTTATCATTTTTTATCTTTATAATTATGTGTTTTGTTGACGATAGCCCTATGAGATTTTGATTTTTTATTACCGTGTGTGAACATGTGGCGTGTGAGATTGCTTTTATTATTTTTTAGTTTTGCTTCAGCTGAGGAAGATTCTAGAACGGTTATATTAGAGCAGGGAGGTGTTAGGGGTGAAAAATACTGGAATGGCGATTTCTACGAGTTTTATGGTGTACCATACGCCAGTGTTCCAAAGGGACGAGATAGATTTCAGGTGAGTCCTTAAATGTAAGGATCGATATTTTGGTGTCAATAAAATCGTTTATTCTTAGAAATTCTTAGTGCCAATTTATCTCTTAGCTAACGAAAAAAGAATGTAGAATGAAATCTCAGAAATTAAATGTTTCAAAGATTTTCGAACGACAATTCTCGCTTCTGTACCTTCTCGTTTAAGGTCTTTAATGTTACAAGAACTATTATAACTATTTTTTTCTATTTAAAAAGAAACATTACCCCCCAATAGGATTTTCTCCTGTCTCGTGGAGGCAGTTTACATACATGAATTGCACAAGAACAAACATCCAGACCCGTAACAATTATTTGTAGGCCATACAAAAATACTTGTTCCGTGCTGGAAGCGAACCCACGGCTCTCAGCGCTGCAAATCATTACTAAGCCAATACGCCACGGAGACGTCTATTACTATATTATAAACTATTATAAATAATTACACACATTATAAATTAATGTACGTCGTCTTATGTTGGAGAATAGCAATTTCTTAATTATTTAGATGCGAATCAATAGAGAACTTCACATAAGATATGGAAGACATGTGCCCATTATTTGAATGTTGGACGTTTACAGGCGAAGAGTACGACTAGGTCAAAGAAAAGTCAGAATAGTCTCGAATGAATGCTTTGTGAGACTAGAGTATATTATACGTGGTAGAGCCATGCTGCAGGTATGTTAGTAGTATAGTTGAAGCACGAATGGGTCGGCTCGACTGGGTAAGGACCACCCTTTCACAGAATATCAGCGTAAAATAGCAGTTTAATACTGGTGTGTTTCGTATGGTGAGTGTAGAGAACCGGAGACCCTTTTTACTGGTTAAGGTGCTTTCCATCTTAGTTCTCACGGGTGACAACGCATCTGCATTTTGATTCGCAAACGAGGATAGGTGTGTCTATGGGCCACAGCAACCTCTTACCATCAGGTGGACTGTGTGCTCGTTTCTCACCCTATCCTATAAAAAAAACGAATTTTGAAGGATGAAATTACGAGGTCAGAGAGATGAAAGAAATACTTAAAAAGCGAAGTGAAATGTTACAAAATAATTTTTACTGACAATTAAAAGCTAACTTTAGGAATCACAATAATAAAACTAATTTAGAAACACAGAAAAACTGATTATTCATCATCATCATCATCATTACAGCCCTTCACAAGTCGACTAACGAACATAGGTCTCCACCATAGATTGCCTTATTGGGGGGATATTTTCCATAGTTGTTACGCTTGGCACGCGTTTACCGCTAAAAAGTACCCCTTTGTCGTATCTCCTCCACTTACGCGTTTACCGCTAAAAATTACCCCTTTGTCGTATCTCCTCAGTCTCAAGGCACTCCCCTTCTTGCCTCAGCCAGTATAGGAACCCTCGGAGTCGACATATCGAGTGACGTGCAGTTTAGTGGTCACTTGGAAGAGAAGGCCAAATTGGCCTCTAAAAAGCTTGGCGTGCTCTGCAGAGCGGGACAGTATTTCATGCCGGCACACCGCCTGCAACTTTACAATGTCCGGCCTCACATGGAATACTGTTCCCATCTCTGGGCAGGGGCTCCCCAGTGCCCACTCCTACTACTTGACCGCATCCAGCGTAGAGCGGCTCGAATCGTCGACGACCGAGTCCTTTCCGATCAGCTCGGTTCATTGGCACTGGGAAGAGATGTTGCATCCCTTTGCATTTTCTTTCGCATCTACCACGGGGAGTGCTCTGAGGAATAGTTCGGATTAATCCCAGCCGCCAAATTTCACGACCGCACATCGCGGCAGAACTCCCGATACCATCCAGACCATCTGGATGATTGGCGGTCCACCACTGTGCGATTTAAAAGATGTTTTCTTCCCCGCACGACTTCCTTGTAGAGTCGATTACCATCAGCGATTTTTCCGGACTGATACGACTTAGGGACCTTTAAGAAAAGAGCGTACTCCTTTTTAAAAGGCCCGCAACTCATCTGCGATTCCCTCTCTTGTGTTGCAGCTCGTCATGGGCGGCGGTAAGGTGAGCCGCATGCTCGTTTGCCCCCTCTCCTATAAAAAAGTGGGTTGGCAACCGCAATTTTTTTTGTCATTTTTTTTATAGGATTGGGTGACAAACGAGCACACAGTCCACCTGATGGTAAGTGGTTACTGTGACCCATAGAGATCTACATCTATCTTCAATAAAGACTCAAGATGGAGATGCGTTGTCACCCGTGAGGACTAAGATGGAATGTCTCGTTGCCAGTAAAAAGGATCTCCGGTTCTCTACACTTACCATACGAAACACAGCAGCGTTAAGCTGCTATTTTACGCTGGTTTTCTGTGAGAGCATGGCCCTTCCCCGGTCGAGCCGACCCATTCGTGCTACAACCATAATATAGCTGCAGCATGGCTCTACCACGTAGAAAATATCTTCTTCTGATTCAATGTCTAAATATTCAATTTTGAAGTCAGCTAAATTGCATGCTGCAACATCATTAAGAAGACGCTGCTGCCCATCTACTGATTTTATTCTCGTCGCCTCTTACGACACCCACGTAATGATTATCATCTGGGGTAGTGGATATTCTTACAGCGCTACTATACTGTATGTGTCAGTTTATTATTAAACTTGAGTAGGTAGCGATTATTTTAGTCCTCTCTACATCTTCGAAAATTAAAAGCTAAATAAGCTTTAACTTAAAACAAGTAAAATAACGTTGGTGTATAAAATAATTTTATGTATAAAGAAAAAATATATAAAAGGTTTACATATATAATTAATTAAAAAGGTAGAACATTATAAAAGCAAAACACAGATTAATATCATTTTTTCATTTATTTATTTTATTCATCCATTTATAAATAAAATAAAATAAATAAATAAATGATTGGCATATAATTCCTGTTAATAAATAAATTGCTGTTTTGAACTTTTCAGGGTCCTTTACCGGTTATACCATGGAATGGAATAATAGACGCTAAGAAAAATAATATAGTATGTTATCAAACATATTATACTGAAGACGAAAATGATGAATTTATTTTATCTGGAGAAGAGGAATGCCTTACGATAAATCTATTGGTTCCTAAAATAGCTACAGAAACTAATTTAGTACCCGTTGTAGTGTATATACACAGTGGAGCCTTTGCTGGTGGTAATGGAAATATGGCTAAATTTCATTATTTAGCAAGACATGACGTCATTGCCGTCAGCTTCAATTATAGATTAGGGGCATTAGGATTTGCATGTCTCGGAAATAAAGAAATTCCTGGTAATGCTGCAATGAAAGATCAAGTGGCCGCCTTAAAGTGGATTAACAAAAATATAAAAAAGTTTGGTGGTGACCCTAAAAAAGTAACATTAGCAGGATTCAGTGTAGGTGCAGCTATGGCTGAATTACTTACGCTATCTAAACTAACTGAAGGACTAATAGACAAATTAATTTTAGAGAGTGGATCAGCTCTTTCCCCATTTGCAATTAATAGAGATCCTCTAAGTACCGCATTAAACATCGCAATATCACTTGGATATAATAACACAGGAAAACTGGAGGACTTAACTGAATTTTATTTGAATGCAAGTGCGGAAGCTTTGTCAACTAAAAGTTTAAACTTCTTTTTACCTAATAGCACTTTTGGATTTGCGCCCTGCATTGAAAACGTTTATAAAGGGATTGAACCTTTCTTAACAGAGTCACCAACAGATATCATAAACAAAGGCTCTAATCACAAAGTATCAGTTCTTACTGGTTTCGCTAATATGGAAGGAATAAGCAGATTAATACAATTTGATAAATGGAGTGAAAGTATGAATGAAAAATTCTCTGATTTCTTGCCAGCTGATTTAATATTTGCAGATAAAAAATTGAAAAATTCCGTTTCAAAAGAAATAAAACACCACTACTTCAACAATGAAGATGTAACCCATGACAATATTCAAAGCTATGTCGATTATTTTTCTGATTCAATGTTTAAATATTCAATTTTGAAGTCAGCTAAATTGCATGCTGCAACATCTAACAGGCCCGTATTTCTGTATGAGTTCTCTTATATTGGTAATTTAAATATGAAATATCACTACATGGACCGCATTAAAGGTGCCAGCCATAGAGACCAAACAGCTTACATTTTAGATTTTTTTGGATGGACAAACAGATATGGAGACTTGGATACCAGAGATAGAATGACGATGATGTGGACTGATTTTGTAAAATACGAGTGAGTAATATTACTGTTTGTGGTTGCTTACACGCCGTATTAGACTAGATATGTTTAATGTAAATGTAAATTTTATTAACTATTCTTTTGAAACATATTTTTTTTTATAGGAGAGGGGGCAAACGAGCATGCGGCTCACCTGATGGTAAGTGACTACCGCCACACATGAACAACTGCAACACCAGGGAGGGAATTGCAGATGCGTTGCCGGCCTTTGAATTAATACTTTAGACGCGATAAGTTCGCAAACAAACAGAAAGACAATTCTAAAAAGATAGAAATGTATTTAGTTACTTATTTTTAGTTTCTCTCAATCATTTTTGATACAAAATTATAAAATGTACGAACACCCGTAATTTGCAATTTTATTCCATGTATAGATGTGTATCTTCTTTTTTATCATCTCGTAAAAGTTTACTGCTTTATATGAGTCTCCCTCGCTTTGACAGAGATTTGCCATAAATGCCATGCTTGCCGGAGTGACGATTGCTTTACACAAAGTAAATGATTAGCAACATATTTAGCTTTACAACGAATTTCAGATGTTTCTTACAGTAGGCTACCTTATCATTTTTCTTTACTATTTTCTACCAATAATTGTTTTTTAGCTTCATTCTCTAAAATTACTTCTCTACCAACAACTTTTTTACACATATTATACTAAAATTACGTGTAATGTTTTCTCGAACCTAAATATTTTTAATTTTCAAAGAATGTCGAAATAATTTTTATTGCATACAGCGACCTGAACTGGCTTCACCTGGCTAGGATCTATAAATATGGCCTTATTTATATTTAAGATAGTCAAAGACCATTTATTTTATCAATTTCTTGTTTCTTTTTTCATAAAAAATCTCCAAGACTGAAAACAGAACCCAGCTTACTTCGGTAATTACTCTCTATTCGTAAGGTTTCATTACTATCAGTACAGCCATTTCAAAAATTAGGCTAGACCGACAGAAGGACGTATAGAATAAATTTAAAAAATCGATATGCATGTCTTATTAATATGCAGTAAGTAGTATTATATAAGGCCATTATTTCGATTTCGATGACGATTACAGACATATCCTTTAATTTTATTTATATATTTAGATGTATAGATGATATTAAATATTTAAAAAAATTAAGACATAAATTAGCATTAGCATGCCCTATTAATTTTCAACTCTCGTGGAAGCCGAAAGAAATTTTGTTGTAGCTGGCATTTTGGTAGCGAAATTAAGCATATTTCGAGAATTTGCAAACTTCACCATTTTTGTTACGGCAATTCGGCGAAATTTTCGCTCTAAATTCCTATAAAAATCAACTAAAAATATTTTTGCTGTATGGATGGCTGTGGTGTCCTGCCGTATAAAACGACGTAAGAAAATCTGTCACCCATTTATTATGGGTAATATTGCCAGAAAAATCTCGTAGATTTCTTCTTAATATGATCACCTGGTAGTAAACTGTGCAGCGTCCAATATGTGTGACGTATAGTACAGCTTAGTTTCTTTAGTTAAGCTTCTCTTACGCCGATATTGTATGGCAATATAGCTTGATGCATTTTGGTGTGAGCCCCTGATGAACAAGATTATTTTTTGCACCTCATTTTCAACCTATAGCAGTCTACTGCTGGATATACTGGTTTCTCTAAATCTAAAAGCGTTATCTATGGCTTTACGCATCCAGTTCCTGTCAGCCACCTTGCGTAGATAGTCGCTTCATACGAATATATGGCCTGTTTGGCGAGAGCGCCTAAATTAGTTTTTTTTTTGTTTTAAATTGCGGCCCACTGATTATTTTAGACATGGCCGCTGCATCAGCTCTTGGCTTTCTTCGGGATTGACAACTACTGCAAGCCTCGTACCAAAAAACTGCTGCTTGTGGCGATCTGTGACACGCATCATACAGATTGCAATATTTAAGCGAGAGGTCGCTTCTGCGAGACTTATAATTTATATCATCAACTGACGTGGTAGCCATGCTGCAGCTATATTAGTAATGTAATTGTAGCACGTATGGGTCGGCTCGACCAGGGTACGACCACGCTCTCACAGAATATCGGCGTAAAATGGCGGCTTCGCGTTTCTGTGTTTTGTATAGTGAGTGCATAGTATCGGAGAACCTTTTTACTGGAAACGAGGTATTCCACCTTAGTCCTCACGGGTGACAACGCATATACATTTTGATTTGTAATTGTGAAAAAATGTATATGTCTATGGCCCACAGCAACCACTTACCATGAGGCGGACTGTGTGCTCGTTTGTCACCCATATCCTATAAAAAAAAAACTATTGCTGTACATACTTTAGACAGGGGGTGTCCCACACTGCGTTTACCTAAGCTCAGTATTCATTTTATGACACTTGTTTTTGCACATATTTCTCATTTATTTAATTATTTTACAGAGACCCGACAGCCTACGAGAGCGCGCTTATTAATTTCAAATGGCATCCTTATACAAATGACAAACAAATTTATTTACAAATAGACAAGAAGCCAACATTAAGGAAAGGTTTATTCGCAGATGGATATAACTTTTGGAATAAAGTATACGAGATGTATTACTGGAATCCAACGCCACCGAAGAAATGAGACAAATAACAAACGTTAAAACAATGAAAGTAAAGTGAAATCCAAATGATAATTTAAAGCATTTTTTAAAAATAATAATTTAGACTTATATTTATATATAAAAATTACGTGTCATGTTGTTTGTCCGCGATGGACTCTTAAACCACTGAACCGATTTCAATGAAATTTTGCACACTGTGTGGAGTTTGGTCCAACTTGAGAGATAGGATAGTTTTTGTCCTGATAAGTGGCCCTCAATTTTTTTTATTGCGAATTTAATGATTTTTTTAGGACACATGGGCGTTGGAATGGGCAGAAAAACGTCTGCCTGGTCAGCTAGTTATTATATATATTTTATTATTTATTTGTTTTCCAAAGTAAAAAATAATATTCTTTTATTCTCGTTTACGACTTTGATTTACAATGGCATTACGTTTAAAAATTCAAAAACACGACCTCATGTGTACTCGTAACATACTAAAGAAAGGGTAGGGAAATTCTTCACACAGTGTCATGGGGGAATATAAAATCAATACTTAATATTCATACAAACGTAATATTTAAGCTATTACATTGAAATTTTGAAATAAGGAAATATTCGTATTATGTTGAAAATGTATTATCTATTAATTTTACAGTTTTAAACATAATATGTTTTGTGCTCAGATCTTATCTTACTTTATAAATGAGCTTGTCCTAGCTGGCTAACTGATAAACTGTCGGAGACGCCACACAGTTTATGTTTTATATTTTTATGTAAACTACTCTTAACTTTGGGAAGCAATTAAATTAAATCTTAAAGGAGATTATGGGGTAATTACATTTGCAAGATAATATATTTTAATAGAAGTGACACGAAATAAATAATTATATAAACTTAACTTACGTTCCACCTAATGCTACATGGATACCTGCAATCTACTTGAAAACAACTTCAAACAAAGCACATTATATACATCTTCACCTCTAAGTTCCTTTGCGTGTTAGCTCGCAGGTTTCCCTACGATGTTTTCTTCACCGTCGAACACGGGGTAGATCACAATTTTAAAACGGTACCTTACGGATAATGTCGGTGTTATCTAAAAAAAATATTATTTACTAACTGTCCTGATACTGTGATTTGCACTTTACGAACATATATTGAGAATAATATTATAAGCAATTTTGGTCCAAACATATAGTATTTATTAAAACTTGATTAAATCGTCAACCTTCGGATCCTATCATACCTATGAAACATCGTCTAGACAAAACAAACATATTGTATAAATACACGACCACTAACGTGTAATGGCGGTGTAAGACTATCTACTGCCCCATAAATCCAGTGGGTGTCGTAAGAGGCGACAAAGAATGCAGCTAATAGTAACTGTATAAAAAATAAAAACTGCGGTTGCCAACCCGTTTGTAAAGCGTGGTAACTGTGGTAAATCCCCCCCTGTAAGACAATATATGGAAGCCAGTGGACTTTAAATGTGATGTAATGATTGCCATTAATTGCTAATGGTATTAATTATAAATAAATTATTATAAACAAATCATCAAAATAGTTTACTTTGCCTTATGTCAATCGATTATCACATACTGCATAACATCCTGGGGCGGTACTGAAAAAATAAAAATAATGAAATTGGAACGAGCATAGAGAGAAAAATATCCGCCTCACTTCCCTTTCTTTACCCTACTGTAGACTTATACAAACGTTGGAAAGTCCTATCCGTCAGGCAGCTTATTCTACAATGTATCATTAAAAACACTCTCTCCTGCAGTATAATTCGCAATTGCTAAATGATAAGCGCAGAAATGATCTTGTCTGTTTCTAAAACAAGCATTGCCAAAAAATTTTACTTTAATTTTATAGCTTTCTTAGTAATTATCTTTGTAATAAAACAAACGCTGGAATTGGTATGAATCCACACAATAGAAGTACTTGCAAATTAAAAGTCACCCAATGGTTGTTGAACCAAATGTTAGCAGGGGAGACCAAACGGCCGAGGATTAGGGGGAAAGGAAAAGAAACAAGCGGACGGTGCAGGTGGTATCGAAGAGCACCGACTTTCGTATTTGAGCACGGAACGATCCGTAACGAAGTCCCAGTCGCCTCAGATGACCTAAGAGGCTGACCGGGATTAGCCCGTTCGCTGAAACGACCACAGGAATAATTTCGGTCGACAGACCACCACACATGTCGGTCACCTCGTGAGCCAGGTCCAAATATTTTGTGAGCTTATCTGTCTCGGCCTTCACGAGGTTCTCGTCATAAGGAATGACATAGAAATATTAAATGGAGGAGAGGTGGCAAGGGGGCGTGTCTGTGTCCTATGATCAAAATGCTCAGGTTCTATTCAAACGGCCGTCTCTGTAGACGTGGGTCGTTACGTCATTTTCAAGAAACGTAACGAAACCAGTGACTTGGGTGGCGTCACCTGTTTCAAAACTAGTGATTTTTGTAACTGGCTATTTTTATTTGGCTACTGTGATTGTTTGCATAAATACCACCAAGAACTATACAGTTACACACGAAACGTAAATAAATTTAATCACTATCTAAGTGTTTCTAGCTATACAGTTAAATCAATAAATTAACTTCCCTTCATACTTTATTCAGGCTTAGAACTGACTGCATTAAATGTATTTATGATTGTTTTGTATTTACTATGAAACTAAGATTTTCATAAAATTATTAATGCATAGATATTTACAAGTTAATTTGATTGTATGTACAATGATTATTGATATTCACAGTTTATTTAAACTTGTACAATCCACACTAATTATATTTATATAATATAATAACAAAGAAACGTTACATTAAATGTACATAAAACACCAAAATAACATATAAATGTAAATTTTTACAAGATAGTATTCAAAATTATAAACAAGTACAACGATGAATTAAAACAAACTAAATTATTGTACTTAATACTTCGCTTCCCGAAATTGCAAACCGTTGAAATTATTTACAAACAAAGATCACTCTATTTATATTGTCTATATCTATAGTCTTACGTATGAAAATTAAACGTACAATAATACTGTTACATACGCCGTTTTGTTTATTGTTGTATGCCACATGTGCGCTTTGTGCTTGACCGACCGACAGTCGACTCTCGCAACAATCACAGTTCGCAACAACAGTAATAACGCATTTACAAAAATCACTACTTGTAATATGACTTGAAACTAGTGATTCGATTACATGCCGCGTAGCCAGTTATTGTAACTAGTGACGTGAAATAACGCCCACGTCTACGTCTCTGCGTATTAGTATACTTTCAACCGTTATCGTGAAACAATATAAGAATGCCGTGTTATTGAGTGGTTTCTTGTAAAAACCGAAGCCAAAACAAAATCTTTGTAGATCATAGAATCACTTACCATATGTAAGAACAAGTATTTTACTATCTTTATCTTTAAAATCACGAAAAACAACAAATCGTAAAATATTTTTTGCTCTTAATGCGTTATTTTTGTTTTCAAATATCACTGCGACGGTACTATTTTGTAGTAAATACATTGCTCCTGAACCTCTACTTATGTATGTCGCTAAGCGACTGAACAAGCAATGTAAATATAACAAAGCGATACTTTATTTATGGGGATGCATCGTGTAGTACGGCCACTGTATCTTGCGATGAGTTAGTGTTGTGCTTGTGCAGATCCACTAACGTATGCTATCGACAACAATGTCGATTGGCGAATTGCTATTATAGTTTATTCTTTCAATTTGTCAACCTTTTCAGCGCGGTGGGAAGACTGATGTGACATAATGGTATTTAATTATTTTGATTATTTTCACCGTTTACTACACTGAATTCGTAACTAGCGATCATAAAGTAAGTTGCTTAAATAATTAGGTTAATCATCGGTGAAGTGTCGGGTTGAATTATAGTATATTATGCCTTCGTGCTAATTCCATACTTTTATGTTTTCAAAAGCTTCGAATGCGTTATTATAACTAATTGGCGTGGTTCAGAATTCAGATAATATTATAATAGTGACTTTTGCTAAAAATAAGTCAACATAATTCTCCTGGCTATTTATTTGTTATGCATGAGTGTGTGTTTGTTTTCATATATTTAACAATATCTTGACCAAGTAGGGGTTTTTTTAACAAAAGCTTGCCAGGTACATGTAATTGATAAATAAATTATTATGGTACATTTTTAAAAGATGCTAATTTAAAAAAGAAATGAATTGATTCCACAGGATGGCCACCAAACTGGTTCCCTACAAAAACTAGTACCATATGCCAAAATACCTACTTTTTCAATACGCTATGACAATCTAAACCAACATAACCGGATTTTTTTATTGTATTTGTTAGGTAGGTTAGGTACTTAATGATTTATGTTTAGCTACATATTGTTTATTTTTATTATATAATTTCCTGTGCATATCGTTTTTTATTTATTTTATTTTCAATTTTAGTGCAATTTTAGTATAAATGGTAGAGAATCGATAACTTTCCAATTTAGTCAATCACTAATGTATATGTAAAAAATGGCTTTTGAACAGCACAACGATAGCGCCCGATATTTTTGTGTGAGTAAGTAGTACGGTGCATAGTAAATGTACGCTGTGTTTGTAGGGATACGGTTTATAATTGATTGTGTAGTACGTTCCGATTTATAAAATGCGAGTGCGTGCGCGACTGCTTATATATTGCTTTTACTGATCTGCAAATGTAGTAGCAGGCGGGTGGTAGGGGCCAACTGGAGACACCGGGCTCCGATACATTTTCAACTACCGGACATATCTCCTTCTATTATTATATGTATGAGGAATGGTAATGACGACCAAAAATATCATTGACTGTGCTCGATCCTTCAGCACAATATCAGGATTATTCGCGGTCCCGGTAGAACCTGGCGCGATCATTTTCGAGCACTTCTTCCGGCAAGTACTTGTAATACGGCAATTTCCGGTCCACAAGACCGTATTTCAGAGCGAGCTTCTGGTGTAGGATTCTGGATACTAGATTGTGCCTGTGCAAGTACTCAGACGTCGCGTCAAAC